TATGTGAGTTGTTACAAATAGTTAAACCAAGCTTTCTTTGAATAGTCCAGGTACAGAGAAGGTCATTAATGTGGGCAGAGCCTCCTTGCATTGCTGTGGGAGATTTAGTAGATCAGATGAGAGCAGGCAGCTTTCTCCTTTGCAGACACCTCCTATTCTCATTCCTGATCTCATTCTGTGAGACCAGGATTGTTCTTATCGGATTCTTCTTGCTTCCTAATCTTTCCTTATTGAACAAGGCAAATCTTCTTCCATCAGTCTTCGCGGAAAACCTCTCTAGCAAATTCTTCTACGGGATTATTATAAATCTGACTGTGAAATTGTGTAGAGACTTTTGAAACAGAAGTGGAAAGATGTATACTCAGCACATACATTAGAGTCACATGTTGTGATTAAATTTTGAGGTCTGTAACATCTAAGGGATAAAGTAAACTTCAGACTCCATTTGTAGGAAAATCAGGTTTTTGGAGTCAGACGTTCCAATGATTTCTGTCTGGGACCTTGTGCAAGCTCAGTGTTAACTTGCCTGATTGCAGAGGTTGGGACAATAAATCTCTGCACAGGCAGGAGCCGAGGAGGTGCCGGGGCTGAGAAGGACTGCAGCTGGCAGCAGTGGGGATGCACTCAGAGCGTGCCCCTGAAGAACGGAGACAGGCAGGGGGCTGCTGATGCCCTTGTGGGCCAGCCCGAACAGGGGACCTTGATACACATTTCCCAAAAATCTTAATGCATCATTCTAATAACTGAAATGTACTATGGTTGGAGCCTTGTGATAAGGTTTCTCCCTGGGTCTTTTCTCAGCCAGGAGTGAGGTCGCTTGTACCTGGTTTTAGGAGAATTTTCGTTGTCTCTGCACCCACCAATGCCATTCCTTCTTTGAAAGTGAATAATAGTTAGATGCTCTTTGAATACAACTTTACCAGCAGTTGTAGCTTCTTTTGAGTACATATCTTAAGGTGATACCATAAATCTTTACTTGATGGTAAGACAGTAATGTAGGACTTTGCCTTGGTCAGAATACATAGCATCTACTGTTTATTTCTCATCTAGTAAGGGCTTTACACTGTCAATGACCTAAAATATTTCTGAAAAATCCAAATTTTAATAGCCTTTAGCTGTTAAGGATTCAGAAATGGATAGTATATTACTATATATAGTATACTGATCTAGATATTACATCGAGAAAGATTAGAATACAGAGAATTTTATCTTTTCCCCTTTTCTGAAAAAGGTAGATCTTCCCCTTGCTGTAGTCTTCTGAGGCTTCTCTGCCTTATGTGATTTTATTTTTTTTAGATAACTGCCCATGTTTCAAAGGTTACTTGAATGAATATTTTTCCATGTATAACTTGTCCATTAGGTAACTTTCACCCACTTAAACATCATGCAGATAATCCAATACTTTTGATAACTCTTGCCAGTTAGATACTAGATACTATAGACTTGGAGAGAGAGGTGTAAAAGAAATACCAGAGCAAAAATTTAATCCTAATATTTAAATGTGCAAATAACTCACAGTGCTGAGGAAGCAGGAGTCATTCCTTAGTTTGGTGAAGCTTTTTTGGTTTCTACAAATAGTTTACCCAAATCAAAACACAATAATTCCTTAAGTGTTCTGTGCTGACTTTCGTCAGGCCTCTAACCTGAACTGTCTGACTTCATATAAATATTTCTCTTCCTTTTTTTTTTTTTTTTTTTTCCCCCCTGTAATTTGCCCTGTAGTCTTATCGTCTTATCTTCATGTCAAAGTTAGTTTTGGTGCGGCATGTTCGTAGAGGTGATTGCAGGCAGACTTGAACTTTGCTCCCAGTTTGAGCCAGCTGGCCAGAGGCCAGCTCCGACGTAGTGGTAGTGCTTGAGCTGGTGAGCTATACTTCTGAGCAGGTCATGTTCAATGCATCCAAGCACCACACAGGCACGGTCACTCACGGCTTGCAGTTCAGAAACAGCTTGTGCCTGTCCAGATCAGAGCATCAACAAGGAGAGCTCACACCTGTGTGTCATTCCCTGAGCAGAAAGACCTTTATCTGACCAGAGTCTTCCTCCTTCTGGAGACTCAAACTAGGAAGGCATTTAATAGTCTTCTGTACTTACCTGCACTGTTATTTGAACCCCTTTCTCATAGTGGAATGTTTGCTTTTTGGGTTTCTTTTGGGTTTACCTTATAACACATTATTGAAAGCTTTTATTATGATTTATTGTGTGCTTGGCTAATTAAAACTCATGCTCTGTTTTAACTTTTCTACTTTTATCTCCAGAGGCATGATGGTGCAGGGAAGGCTTAGACTCATCCTTAGTAACATATGCATTAATTTTTGCTTTTTCCATGATCTCTTTTTAATTTTTAGCTGACTGGAGATTGCCAGTGTGGTTGCACTGGCCTGTCACTGTACTTTCTAAAGGTACTTGGATATTTAGTAAGGTCTCTTTCAGTAGCTGCCATTACTTTCCTAGAGACCGCCTGTGCCTGCTTTCTGAGCCTGCTGGCCCTCATGCTGCTGTGCTCATCTTTGCAGAATACCAGTCTCATCCTGCAGTTGTCTTCCTTCGAAGTACCACACACCAGCAAAGTCTTGCTCAGGTATTCTCCAATGGAACAAAATCTATTTTATCCTGTCCCTTGAAAGTTTTGTTCAACTTTGGAAAGGAAAAGGCGTCCTCGGTCATTTTCACACTTCTGAGCATTGGTCTGAACTGAGACCCTCTGTTAGAAGCAGGTCCTGCCATTGGGACACACCTTTTCGTCCTTCAGAAAAGCCTTGGCCACCTCTGCCTCCTAGTGAGCTAAAGTGACATTTCACAGCATTGAAGATCCTACCCCCTTTTCCATAGTCTCTTTAGTGCCCACTCTCCTCCACCACCCCTGTGCAAGATCCAATAAAAATTTAACGTGTGATTTTAACTAAATACTGAGAACAGTAATATCAGATTTATCCTTCAGTGATATAATCTCTTCAAGAGCCTCTCAGAACTATTTCTGGATCTATTCTTGCTGGCTGAGGGTAGCTTTTCATTTATGTATGAAACAACAGGGTCCTTCTCTTACATCATAAACATATGGTCACGAATATATAGTATTTCCTCATAGCCTGATGTGAAAAGAATGCCAAAAACAATTCTGAGATTTGCTGAAAATCAGAAGACAGAAATTATTTTTTAATCTCAGTCAGAATGGGAGTATATGTAATTTGTCAAGAGAAAGCCTAAGTATGTATGAGGAGTTTTAAAATGGAATTTGCAGCAAGTATACCCACAATTGGAAGAATCTTTGTCTCTACTTCTGAAAGGGGTCTTCCCCTGTACCATTCTCCAGCTATCGCCCCCCATAACTGCTACTTCCCCTTAAATAACATTTGAGCCCCAGACAGTTTCAGCTCAGGATCTGCTTAAGCATGTATGGTTTCAATGTATTTAGTAACCCTCACTGCATCCATTTTCCAGGACCTCAGCTGGAATCTGTAAACAGAGGTTAAAGCTACTGTTAGCAAGAAAATAGTAAAATGGTGTAGTTGTGCTTTTCTTCTTAGGCCTCTCCCAAGACACACTTCATGCCTCTAAGGAGGGACTATTCTCTCCGAATTTGAAACCTGTATGTTTAAATGGTGGTTACTTTATGCTTTATATGATTGACATTGTTGAATTACTTTTATAGCTTCTTACTTCTCCAGGATTTGCTGGGTGCTGATATTCATTGTTTAGAGGTTTCTCTTCTTTCCATTTGTCCTTATATTGGTCACTTTGATTTCAGTGGCACCGTGAAGGAATAGTTGATAGGATAATGACTTACTGCAGCTCCATTACAGAGCACGGAACAGTCTCCAAGAAACACATCTCAGCCTTTGAAGTTAGCTTGTGATAGTTTCTTTTTACCCTTTAACTCATTGCTGTTGCTTGATAAATATCAAGTTCTAAGTTGCTCCTATTAAAGCTGATGGGTCATTGTTACAACAAGAGATCTGTCACAATATATATATTTAACCTGACAATCAGTGTGAATGTGTCACCCTTCAACCCTGTTGGTTACCAGATTAAAACAGTTTTGAGGGAAGTAGGCAGCAGGAGAGGTTTCCATTTTTTTGCAGCTGGGAGATCTTTGAGAAAAAATAATAATAAACAGAGAGTAAAGCAAAAGTTTTTCCTAAGGAAGCATCTGTGTTTTGAAATATGACTCAGGCCAGTCCATGTATTTAATGAGATTAATTCAACTGCTCAAATAAAATATAATTCTCTGTATGTGTGTAATATGTATATATATGAATGTGTTATATATAAAATACTATAATCCTTTACATTTTAACAAAAACTTACCATTTAAAAACTTAAGTTATTTGTATGAAAAATGCCTAAATGGTCTTTTATTCTTTGGTAGAAGTGAATTATTTTAACAATATGTTTAGCACAGTTTTAATAAGCATAGTATTGAACTAGCTATTGATACTTTTACTGGCTTTCCATTAAAAAAATCACATTTTAAATCACAAGTAGTAAAGATGTAGAAAAATGACATCAAAAAATGACAAGAACTTTGATAACTTTGTGAAAACAGGTTGTATTTAGTGGCATTTTTAAACAAATAACTTCTAGGAAAGAGTATTGAATATTAATATATACTAATGAAAACTTTCCAAAATCAAGAACTGAATGTACCCCAAAGTATCTTCTGTTTTTTCACCTTCTAAAACTGATTCTTCAGGACATGTGAGAGGTATGTTGCTAGGGGAGATGAAAAAGACAACCTCACTACCTAACCTTGTGGTTTTTGTTCCCTTAAGAATAAAAAGAACGCTTTGTTCTTTTTCAATGCCATTCTGACACTAGTGCAATAAACAAGCACACAAATGTAATTTTCTGTTTTGATGCCTATTTCAAAATTGTAAAGTTAACAATATAATAGCTCTACCAAGAATGTAAATCGACTCTGGAAACCAATATCAATCCAAGGGATGTATAATGCTTGCATTGTCTAACTTGAGTTCCCTGCTTTTTTGTTTTGTCTATAGACACCCTATTTTTGGCCATCAAATTGTTGGGAGCCGGAAAACACAGACTATGGTCAGTGTAGAAATCTTTCCTATTTCTTTCCAGAATTATGTATTGTATGATCAAACACATCATTACGGTCTGCCTTGTTTAATCATCCCACTGTTAAAAACATAATTATATGTCATATAATTCCTGTGCAAGAATTGCTGATATTGAAATGAATGTGTTGGTACCTCTTTCAAAGTTTTATAAAAGTTTATTAAAGTCATCTGATCTGAGGGAAAAAAAAAAAAAAAAAGCCTCAAAATTATTCAAAAGCTACCTTGCCATTTGCATCTTCTGTTTGCTCCAAGAAGTGTAATTGTTTACAGTGAACAAAGTCTCAGTGAAGCAGAGGAGCCTTTATTAATGGTTGTGCAATAGTTATTCTCAGATTCAGACCCAAAGATGTGCCTAGTTTAGATCTCTTATTTCTGATATGCACCTTTGGAAAAGTATTTATTATGGAAAATAATATAGTTCTAATATGAACTATATTGGAAAATACCTTGTTTCTTTGCCTGTTTCTTGAGTTTTTATTAATAAATTACATATTGTAAGTACTGAGGTGTACTTAGACAGGAAAATCTGAAGATAATAGGTAGTAAAGTATTACAAAAACCTCGTAAAATTTATAATCAAGATTAGATGCCTCTGTACACCGAGTAGTATGCTAATTTTTAAAGAAAGTGGATTATCTATAATCAGTCTCTTGTTTATTATAATCCAGACTGTAAGTACTCAGCTCATCTGAAGACCAGGTCACTTATGTAGGTAACTAAGCGTGTACATTATAGCTTACCTTTTTAAAAACTCAGACTTTGCAAGTCTCTATTTACAGCTTTTCAGAAATTTAGATGTGTGTTCACTTGTAATATGGATTCAATCTCAGTTCTTCAGAGCTGAAGACCACAGGGATGGATGGTTCCAATAGATGCTTCCTTCCTTTGCAGCAGACACAGTTTAGTTTCAAATATTTGCTAAATAAAACAATTTCAAGCTGAGATGCTCAGCACACCTGAGTGCCTTCAAGGCAGACTTTGAAAATGGTGAAGGAGAAAAACGTCCATCTTTAAAATTCTGAGATCTGAAAATGTTCAGCAAAAATTTATCAAAAGCTACAGAGGAGGAATAATTCATACCACACCTGAGTGATTAGCTACTCCATATGAGGAAATTAGTTGCTGAAGGAGAAGTGCTTGATTTACCACCTATTACCATGTTTTTCCCCTTCCGTGAAAATGTTATTTGCTTTTCTCAGAGGGACACTTCAGTATAGTCTCCTAATATGTTAAAGATCAGAAAGTAATTTACTGTGGTCTTAAGAGACACTGAGTTGTTCAGCTGTAATGTGTATTACATTACCGGGGGGGGCTTAATAAATAAATATATACTCAACAGGTCTGAACTTGAGATCCGGCTGAGAAGGTCTCCATTAACATCCTTTAATCTAAAATAGGAGACACTAACTTTCTAGTAACAGATGACCACTGGATCAGGCAATGAATTACATACCTTAGTTAGTAAATAGAAATCTTACATAATCTGTCCAGTTTTTGCATGCCAGAAATACAAAATTAAATTTGGGATTGCTTTCTTCATCAGGCAGGGAGGTGCCTTCATTGAAAAGTAAATGTGCTTGTTTGAGAGCTTTTGAGATTATAAAACCTGTGAAATATGTTCCAGTTGGTGAATTTAAGCTCTTCTGTTGCACGGGGGTGACGGAAGGGAAAGCCCCAACACTGCCATCTCATTGCTCCTTCCAAATCATGAGCAGAAGGTGCAAGCCTCCTGGAAACCCACTGGCAGCTCCCCCATGCAACAGGATCAGAACATTGCGCTAGATCTAGCTAAGGTGACTGTGTGTTGCCAGAATTGTCTAATGCTAGAGCATTCACAGGAAAATAAATTTTTAAGACAATTTTTCAATAGTGTTCTTACTAGGTTAGCATCTTCCCAGTCCCAGGAATTAGTATTTGCCTTGTGGCCTGAGGATTTTTTTCTGATACCTTTCCATGAATATAAAGAGAGAGCAGATAAGGGGAGAACTGAATACAACTGCTTTCAGAAAGGATTAGATAACTGTTGTAAACAATGGTCATCAGAGGAATATGGAAGAATCAAACAAACAATATTCAAGAATCCAAAATAAATCTTAAATAGGATTGAAACAATTTGAGGATATTAAAGAATAAATTCCACCTCAAATGCAATCCAAAGAGGTTCTGCAGTTTTTCACAGCAATTCTCTTCCTTCCTAGAAAAGATAATAAATAGAATTTATGTTATTACAGATATGCAGATGCATTTCGTACCTGTCATGTATTACGGTGCTGTGCAGTGCTTCCCTTTGCATGAACTTGTCCTGAACAAGCTTGAAACTGCACCTTCTAACACTGTGGCAGGCATTAGGAGTCTCTCAAGGCCGGCAAGAAGCAGGCTTTCCCTTTAATCTTTATCAAAGTTATTAACAAAGCAAATCGCTTTCTTCATCATTGACCTAATTGTTCGAGTCTTCGAAAACACACTGAATTTTTATTTTAGTTTAAAAATTACTCCCAACCATTTACTCTTCCTCACCCATATCTGGGCTACTGTTCAGAATGTAGCATACTGCCAGGAAAATAATTAATCTTAAACTAGAAATTAAATGAGATTGAGATACTGCATGTGTTCATTTATTACCAGAGCTAGCTCAGGAACAAATAATCTTTACATCTTATTATAATATGTGAATATATTCTCTAAAATGTATTTTTTTTTTCCAAATGAGCTTGTGATATCAAATATTTTCATTTTAAAAAGATTTATCTGAAGAAAATGTGGAGAAAAGAGACATTAAAACAAAATCTTCCAAAATGTCAAGTTGCAGACCTATTCTCATAATAAAACTATAGTACAGTGCTATGTCTTGGTGGCAAAAATAGGGCTTGGATCAATTTATTGTATGCCAGCGTGGAATCATGTAGCCTTTCGATTTGATTGTAACTATCAAAATATTAACCATCTAATCATTCTGAGGTTACTAAGCAATCATTAATTTTCACAAAGTGCTGAAAATCTCCCTCACTTTTTCGTCTCAAGAGAGATGCCTCAAATTGCAAATAATTTCTAAAAAGGCAGTTTCTTTGATTTCATCTGTTGAAGATAACAGTTTTAATGCTGTATGTCTTGGAGTCCACCCATTCAGAACATGTTGTTCTGTGTAGAATCCCATTGCTTTCAGTGGGTTTTTATTAATGAAGTGTGCACATTAATAAATATTTTTTTTTTTTAAGGCCAGTGTAGTTCAAATCACTTTGCATTTCCTGTGAGTTAAGTCACGTTCCTGAATTATGATTTAGTTTTGTGACAAATAGAATTGGATCTCAGTTCAGAAAACTGATTCCAGAAATGAATGCAACTAACGGATAAGCATGCAACCTACCTGTAATCATCTTCTCTTTTCTTACAGATGTAACTGACAGAATTTTTTTCTGGCAGATTAAAAACAGTTCATGTCATTAAGAATTAATTAAATATGGAGACTTGTTAAGTCCATTCCATCTCAGAAAGGGGAAATGTACTGCCACATATGGCATTGTTACTTCATATGCATTTGGCCTCTGTTCTCATGGGACTTGTCAGGTTGTCTTGGAAGTTTAATGTCTCATTGCTGTTGCAAATTTGAAGAATTCAGTTCCTTACTGTTCTCTTTTTTGAGATAAGGAATACAAAATGTTAGGGAACAATTCCATTCACAACAAATTAGCAATTATTTTTGTGTTTGATAAACTCAAGACTAACCCTAAGCAAACAAATGAACGTCATGAACATAGTCATGACAATACTTGCAGTTTGTAAGAATTTCAGATGTATAAGATACGAAGAAAAATTAATAACTTTTAATCATTTTCTGTAGTGCACTTTTGTTGATGGTTAGACTCAAAAGTGTCTGAGACACACAAGCATTTTCTTAAAGTTAAATGCATATTAAAAATGTTCAAAGGAGAGACAGAATAAAATTTTGAAAGTGCCACAGTTACAGTGCCACAGGAGGTTTGGACTAATACTAGAACAGTCAACTGCATCTATATAGTTGCAAGAGGATGCTGTTTCAGCCTTATAATTTTATGTGTGTGCATTTCTCCCAAATGAATTAAAAATGAAGGAGGATTGCAGAATCTTGGTGGGTTATGGAGAACACAATAAATAACTGATAATGCAACATGAGTGTAAGAGCACATGACTGTGTGATCTGTAAATGATGCTAAATGAGATTTTTTTTCCTGTATATTTAAAGCAAATTCTTAAATTCTGCTTCTGTGAAAAAGGACAAGTTTTGAAAATGTACATATTTTCAGTAGCCTTCCAGGTAAAGTCATGTGCTGTAAATGGAAATCAGAGCAGTTGCAGAAAAAATAAAAATCTTAATTAATTGCTCCCTTTGAAAGTGTAAGCTCCCTGTCTGGATAATGCTGCCTGTAAACTTCAGTGGCAGTTCTATAGATATTCATGATTCTGTTATCCAGTCTGAGTTACAGTAAAATATGGAAATCATCTGCTTTTCCTATGTGAAAGTTGTTGTCTCACAGCTGATGTTCTTGAGCATTTTTATGAAAATAAATTCTGTCCTTTTAAAAATTTTCTTGATAATCAGCTAACAAGTCAGTCCATACAGGTTTTTCTTCCTAATGATACCTTCTTATCACTTAAGATAAAGTCATGAAAGACCTCTCTGTGTTCAGCCTCTGCTGCTCCATTCTGAACATGAGGTATCATACCTGGTTTATCTGTCTCTCCTCTGCCAAACTTGCAGTCATGCTAGAGTACATGGTGCACAAAACGTAATTGCAATCCTGTATCATGTTTTTCCCACGTTGAACATTTTCATGTAATTTTTCTCTTTAGAGTTTGTTGCCTACTTATTTTATATGACTAGCTTTAGATCCATCTATGCAAGGTTGATTAGTTCAGGAATTTTCTCTCATTTGTCTTGCTGTACCCTTTTCCTTGGAGTAGCTGGCTAGAAGGAGAACTGTACAGAGGGTG